CAGAAATTGACACATTGTAAACTGACTACACTTCAATTAAAAATATATATACATATCAAAAAACCCCACACATATACAAACAAAAAAAAAGAAAAAAGGGAAATTTCCACTGAGAAGCTACTATTCATTGTAGCTGTTCATTGTTACATACATTTTTCTTTTTTAATTCTCACTGCAAGTTTAGAGAGTTCGCGTTATAATCCTCATTTTTACAAGTGAGAAAAGAGATAATGAAAGCAAGAGTAAAACAAGAGCAAGAGAGATAAACTAGAACTATTTACTTCTCCTGTAATACTGCATTCAGAAGATTATATTAAATTTTAAAAACCTTTTTTGTTCACATTTTTATAAATGATGAATTCCACATTAAAGATGGAATAATTAAGATAAATAAATGTCAATAAAAGAATGTTCTGTAGGGAACCAATCTTCTAGTTCCCTTTGATTCTAGGTGGAAACCCCTAAGACCATAGCTAATCCTAAAATTCAGGCCCCCAGAGAAAAACTCTGCTGTAGAAAATTATAATAAATAAATGTTAAATAATCTTATGAAACCAAAAGGAAAAAAAAAAAGATGAACAATTCAGGAGAAAGACAGGCAAATGGTGTTACTAAGAGGGACCTATAAAAGCAGTGTGGACGGAGAGGAATCTTCCAGTTCTCCCCAGGTCTAATATAGGTCTTCTCTGTGACTCCTACACTCCTTGTCAGCCATGATAAAAAAATTAATCAAGGAAAATATATGATCAATTTTTAATAATTAAGAAAGAATGGGAGGTTAGAAAGACAATAACATTAAAACACTAAGGAGGAGGGAGAAAAAAAGAAATAAAATACAGATTAAAATGAGAGACTAAAAAGCCTAACAAAGGCAGAAGATTAACAATCAAAAATAGTAAAAGAAAATAAATGATGTTTAAAATAAAGCATAAAAGGCAGGGGCTAACAAGATTAAGGAATAAAAATCTAAAGACGAAAGAGATAAAGAATAAAAAGCCATTCAATAAAAATAAAACCCATATAAATATAAGAGATTAAGGATTAAGAGCAGAAATTAGGAGATAAAAAGGTAAAAGTAAAAAAAAAAAGAAAAAACATCAATATAAAAGGATTAAGGAAAATTATGTATAAAGGTCATTGAACTTTAGAGAAATCATTGGAAAGAAACGATAGAGAACGAAAGTGGACCCAGTGGAAGGGGATGTGGAAACTATCAGTAGCTCTTGGGCTGAGCATTTTCTCTTCATAAGGAGCTTCCCTTTGTGTGTGGTGGTCCTTGCAGGTAGGATGGAGGACAAAAATCTTACACATATATTCATTGGTCTTCCTAAAGCACAAATCAGTAACCTATGGTAGACTGACCTCTAGACACTTCTAAGGCAAGCCTCACAGAGAAGTTAAGTTTCTTCAAAAGACAAAGACTAGAGGAGAAATGACCGAAGCATCTAGAAGAAGAGGTCATAGAGAAGAGGTGAATATGGAGTTTTTTAAACCAAACCTCTTTCTACCACTTATACAAAGAGGCAAAATTAAGACAATTTATGAGAAGGCAGTTTTTACATACAAGTTAACAAACATGAAATTCATAGCTCAAAGAATTAGTATAGAAAATATTTAAATAGTTGTTGAAAAGATTTGGAAGACAAAAAACTGGCAGAATGCAGTGTAAAAGAACTGACAGACATGCCTAAGGTTCTAGTTCCAGCTCTGCCACTAGCTGGCTATGTGACCTTAGGTAAAGCGATTTATATTCTTGTATCTTACTTTGCTTATGCATCTGCAAGAGGAATAAAAAGGGCTGGATTCGATATTCTGTAAAGCTAACATTCGAGGTTGGTATTAAGAAAATGAGTTTTTGTCATACATTGACTATTGGACTGAATGGGTTGTGGATCTAGATCTGTTAACAGGATTGAAAATGTAATTCTTAGAAGGGTTGAAAGGTTAAGGAAATGAAAGAAATGATCAGGCCTAAGACAAGAGGGATGTGAACAACTGGAAATACATGTCTCCTCTAAAGGTCAGGGTCATTGGTCATTCTCAACTATACCTAATGGTTGCCATACTGAAATGTAGGCAGCCAAATGTTCAGATTTTTCTATGAAAGTCAGAAATTTGCCAAATGTGAAAATTTTTTAATTAAAAAAAAATCACTAGATGAGCCAGCTGAAAACTAATCTGCTAGTTCCATTTTGCCTCTGAATCACTGTTTACAAATTCTGCTGAGGTGGATTTTTGATGTTACAGCTAAGAAATATTTGCTTGTATGTTTTCTACTACACTCTATACTTAAAGGTTTAAAATTTAGGTGATTCATTTGATTTAGTATCTGTTAATGGGATGAGGTATGGATTAAAGTTTTGGGGGGGTTGTTGTTGCTGTTGTTGATTTTGCATACAGTATCCATTGGGAGACAATTCTCCATGGCTCTTACATTTCTTCATATCTTATAAGAAAAGCCACCTTTATTTCAGACTATATTTTCAAGGATATTTATAAGACCAAATTACAGTGGAGGATGGGGACAGTGTCTCCCTTCAGAGCAAAAAAATAGATTGGTTACCTGTCCAGAATAAGTAATTACAAGAAGAAACCTGGAACATTCACAAATGTATGAAGATTAAACATCCTCTTGAATAAACAGTGGTCAAAAAAAAAAAAGCAAAGAAAACATTTTAAATATCTTGAGAGAAATTTGAGAGAAAAACACCAAAACTTACAGCATGCAGCAAAAGAAGTTCTAAGAGGGAAGTTCCTAGCAATAAAGGCCTACATTAAAAAAGAAAAAAAAAAGGAAATAAATAACCTAACTCTAACCTCAAAGAACTAGAAAAAGACCAAACTAAGCTCAAAATTAGTAAAAAGAAGAAATAACAATGATCACAAGAGAAAAACATGAAAGAGAAACTTTAAGAGATTAATGACATTGTTTTGCTAAATATATAAACAAAATAGACAACTCTTAGCTTACCAAGAAAAAGAGACATGAATCAAGTAAGTAAAATTAGAAATGAAACAGAAGACATTACAACTGATATTAGACAAATGCAAAGAATAGTAAGGAACTACTATAAACAATTATACATCAAAATTTTGGAAAGTCTAGAAGAAATGGGTAAATTGTTAGAAACATACAACCTACCAAGGCTGAATCATGAAAAAATAGAAAATCTAAACAGACAAACTCCTAGTAAGGAGTTTGAATCAGTAGTTTAAAACCTCCCAACAAACAAAAGTCCAAGACCAGATGACTTCACAGGTGAACTCTACCAAACATTTAAGAAAGAATTAATTCCAATTCTTCTCAAGCTCTTCCAACATTCTTTCATGATGAAAACTCTCAACAAACTGAGTACAATCAGTCCTCTCTATCTGCAATGCCAAACCCATAGATACAGAGGGCTAAATGTACTATTCCATTTTATTTAAAAGACTTGATTAGTCATAGATTTTAAAATCCATGGGGAGTCCTAAAACCAATCATCCATGGATACCAAAAGATGACTGTATAGAGGCAATTTACCTCAATATAATAAAGGTGATATATGACAAGCCCCCAGCTAACATCATTATCAACACACAGACTGAAAGTGAAGGGATGGAAAAAGGTATTCCATGAAAATGGAAATCAAAAGAAAGCCAAAGTAGCAATACTTATATCAGACAAAACAGACTTTAAAGACTTTTATAAGAGACAAAGAAGGACACAACATAATGATCACGGATCAATTCAAGAAAAATATGTAACTACAATAAAAATGTTAAAAAAAATATGTAACTATTGTAAATATATATGCACCCAACATAGGAGCACCTCAATATACAAGGCAAACATTAACAAGCATAATAGGAGAAATCAACAGTAGCATAGTAATAGTAGGGAAATTTAATAGCTCACTTATATCAATAGATCATCCAGACAGAAAATCAATAATGAAACGATGGCCTTTAATGACACATTAGACAAAATGAACTTAATTGATACAGTTATTCTCTGCAAACACTTTTGCCCTCTAGCAGGAAAGATGACACGTTAAAAAACACATACAGAAATATAATCCACAGTGGATTAGAATGAGTGCTATAAGATGGTACCGTGGGAACACAATAATACTTAAACCCTGCCTGGGGATCTTAGGAGGGTTCTTAGAGACAATGACTATATTTGAAGAACAAAGAGAATTTTGACAGACGGCGACAGAGGAAACCAGGTTTGGAAGAGAAAAAGACAGGGCATAAACCAGAAATTGTGAAATTTCCTGTCTGTTTAATAATGTCTGAAGGGCACTGATGGGAATATAGGTTGAGAAGGCAAGTTTAAATCTCAAGATGTGAATCCTTGAATATTCAAAATCAGCACCTTGAATATTATGTTAAGAGTTTGGACTTCATGTGCCCTTTGCCTTTGGGAGATCCTGAGAAGTTTTCAGGGGATGTAATAAGGTTAGAACAGTGATTTAGAGTGTAAAGTAGAACAGAAAAGGGGAGAAATAAATAGAAAAGAGAGAGAAGACAACTTTGGGTGAACTTCTTTTCTTGACAAAGCACTTCAAGCACTTCGATCTAGAAATAATATAAAACCAGATGGAAAGATGTCAGTACTGAAAATTATTTTATCACTATTTTCATCCTGCTTGAAGGAGCATGCCTTTTTTCTCGTACAGCTAACAATCTCTTTTGCTTGGAGCCATTTTCACTTGGAGGCACTACAGACTGACACTGATATTACTGATGTCTACCTCTGTAAGTTCCTTTGCCCAGCAGGAATTAAGGCTTGTAGGTCTGGGTATCTGAAAACTCCATGGAAGTGAAAAAATCAAATCAAAACAGAACAGAAAGTCATCAGTTCTCATGAATCAGTTCTTCTCTGCAGCAAAAGAAAATGGAGGACCACAGTCTCCCACTTGGCTTTATTTATGGGAATTAGGTTGAATTTGGTGTACAGAATATATTTATCTGGATGAAATTTAAGTGTGGCACAGAAGATAAAGGGTACTTACTTTGAATTGGAATTGCTTTTCATTTTGGTGTCAGGGTGATTGAACATTCACGTATTTTTCCTCACTTTTCTCACATAGTCACTCTAAAGGTGTATTTCAGCAAGGAAATCCTATATGAAAGGAGGATTTTAGGATTAGCTCTTGAAGATTACTTCTAATTCAAGTATTTGGAATGTCTTTCAATTGTACGCATTCAAAGTGATTTGGTAATCCATGGGAAATAACTGAACTGTTTCAGGTAATACTCCATAGTGTTAAAATAAATAATCACTGTATCCAGAATGATTCAAGAAGAAAGCTAGTGGGATGCTGGGTTACTTAATTTATGAGAAAATGCAGACTCACATGCCCAAATGTTACTTGAAATTTTTAATATTTTTGTTTCTTCCTGTCCTTGAACAACCTTCACTGGCATTACTTAATTTATTAACTTAACATCTGCATAATTTCTGTTATAGATACATACAATAAGTAAATAGCCCCTAGGACTTAGCCATGCACACAATAGGAGAGTGTTGAGGATAATAATAATGAACACTTTGATTGGCACATCTGGTATTTTCAGTATTTGGAGATTCTTCTACCACATTGTACCTTCCTCTTTGAGCCACTATCTTTGCTATACATGTCTTGACCGTAAATCTATGGCTAAGTACTCTTCAATGTATTCTCTAACAGGTGATTCTTTATTTTTTATTGACTACATTGACCAATTCTGTACCTTGTGGATCTCTTCAATTCAATGTCTGAGTAGATTATATAATTTAAAGGTCCCTTGGGAAAAATAGAACAGGACAAATACAGAGAAATGGTTGGGCCATTTAACATTCATATCAAATTCACTCTGTGGCCAATTCTGTGAACTGGTCAGACATTAGCTATAAGAATGCCAAAGAAAAACAAAAAACAAAAACAAAAAGCCTGGAGTCACTGAAAAATGATTGCTTCAGTGACTGTCCAGAGAGCTGTCACTGAACCTTTTCTTGAATCTCCAGAAAGGCAGTTGCTAGGAGTCTGGCAGTCAAATATTGCTGCAGAGCAAGGGTAAGAAAACCATGGCATGACTCTTGTTTTGATACTAAGAGTGATTGTTACATTTTTAAATGGTTGGGAAAAAGTCAAAAGAATAATATTCCAAGATACATAAAAATTATGTAGAATTCAAATTTTAGTGTCCATAAATAACATTTATGGATGAAATATTATTTTTTCTATATAAAATGAATGAGTGTGCCACAGCCACACTCATTTATCTACACATTGCCTATGACCGCTTTCATATGACAGTGATAGAACTGGAGAGTTGAGACAGACTTTGTAGCCCACAATCGTGAAATATTTCCTATCTGGCCCCTGACAGAAAAAAATGCTCCAAACCCTGCTGTAGCACAAAAGCCAGTTGTTCATGCAATTTTTACTGCTTTCAAGCTGGATTTGTTGCAACCCTTTTGTCTGTGACAGAAATTCAACTCAAATATGGTTTAAGCAAACAAGAGGATTTATTGGATCATGTAGTTTAGGAATAGATCTGGCAACAAGCATGACAAGATTCAAGAATGAGCTCCTGACCCAATCAGGGCCAGCCAGTGATCTTTCCTGTGACTGATGGGCAGATTCTGAAAGAATGATGCTGACTACACCCTTCTGCTGGTGTTGCTAATCTGATGTCTTAGGCCTGCAGCTCTCCTCCGGTGGTGACGAAGATGACAATACGACAAAGATAAAGGTGGCACTTGATGTTACCGGCAGAAAGAGTTCACCTTTTTTCCAATAGTTGCAGCAAGTCCCCAGGCTAACTCTAACTGTTCTGAATTGAGTGGGGTCCAGGATACCATAAAGCAAAGCACACGGACTGAGTGTGGGGAGAGGTATTTGTGCAGAGGAAAATTGGAAAGGAGAGGAAATACCTGCCAAGCAGGCATAGCCAGCAGACGGCCACTGCAGTGAGAAAAGAGAGCACTGGTTCTTCCTTTTTTAGAGGTAAGACTACCTAGTCTCAAAAACGTTAAAAGACTTATTCAAAATTACCCAGATGGAGAACCCAACCTGTCTAACTCCTGGTCCACTCTGTACCAAACTGTGATGCCTTTCCAAATGGTAGTTGTTCAGGTGCCAAGCATGCATATGTTGGCCTGAAGGAAAGTTTTGAGTCTTCCATAAATTAGATTTCTCTAATGTTATGTAAATATCTCATCAACTACCTTGGCTCAATACTCAAATTCATGCTTATTAAATTAACTTCAACCATTTAGCCAGGCCCAAGGGAGAGGACCTTAGAGGATCAGTTTGGTGCAGAGGGAGGGAGCAAGGGAGTGGGGAAAGTTTCAGAGCAAAAGGTGTCATCTGATGAGAGAGAGCCACAGTGTCCAACCATCAGAACCCAGGAAGTGATTGGGAGTGTGTCTTTGTGTGTCGAGAAGTTAAGGAATAAATATGCACTCAGCGGAGGCTTGAGAAGAGCTGCTGGAAGACAATTTCTGCCTGTTTCCCAATCTCACCACAGCAGGGTCCTGGCACCCTCCTCAGGTGTAAATTGGTCTCTATCCAGAGCATAAACTAGGAGCAGACTCAATATGCTAGATATTTCCATTTGCTTTAGGCAAGCAATGAGACAATTTCTTGATAGCTTTCTGACAATAATGAAAGTGCACGGCTCAGCAAGGGTGACTCACTTGGTGAGTCAGTTGTTTAACGCTGTCTCTTTATAAGTCATCACTCAAATCAAGTTCCAGCATACACCAGTGACTGGGGCCTCATCTCAGCCCAACTTAGGAAGAATCTTCCAGTTCAACCCACTGGCCACCTGCCCAGCTCATCCTTTACTTTGGGAGAAGATACTTGGCATCTGTATACATGGAACACGACAATCTTGGGAGCTACGGCCAAAAGAAATTAAAAATTGTCATCACTATGGTTTTGTATTCAGTTACCAGATGAGCAAAAATGCCTTAGCACCTTCTTTGTGAATTCAATTCAATTTCCAAACATTTAAAACAGCAGGGATGTAACAAAGCAGACATTTAGCTGAACAGTGAGCTGAATTCTGGTTTGCACAGAAAACATGAACTAGACGTTAAATAAATGTCAATATTCAGCAAGCTGTTTTCCATTTCCAGACTAGAGAATTTTAGCTCCCCATAAATTTCTTAGGAATAAATGTGTAACCATAAGCAGAGCTTTTATTAATTCAGCTGCTCCAATTGTCTCATTTGATTTTGAGCTCTGACATTCCTGAAAGGATGCAAGTCTTTTAAATCTAAACCAAAAGAATGTTTCAATCTCTGTTAGAAAAGGAAGTTTGGCACATCAGGATTGTAAACAAAGGCAAATCATGTTACCATCCCATACAGAATTCTTTAGCCACTACAGTCTCTTGCACTTGTGTTAATAGCTCCAGATTGATGGAGGAATTAGACTTTTTGAGAAAAAGAAATGTAATTAACATGAATTCCTATAATATGTTGGAATGAAAAATTATTTTTCCCTCTTCACCCTCTGCTAAGATTCTTTCCTCTCAAGCTTAATAGTGGTATACCCCAGGCAGGTTAGAGAAAATGGTTCTTTTGTAGACTGAATGGGCTGTGATGAAACCTGCAAGGGGCAGACTAATAAGAGAGAACTGGGGCCAAGACTTGATAGGATGGGAGCAGAGCAGAGGCTGCTAAGAGGTGGGGACAGAGGGCCTCCAAGACCCATTTTGCCCCTTAGGAGCAATGTCATAGGAAAGAAGTGTTTGCTCTGGGCCCTAGGGAACCTTTTTTGGTTCAAAAAATGGTAACCAGCAGGCTACACGGTAAATATCAACTGCTTCTGCCTGCCTGTCTCTTTTTCCAGTAATAGAAATCATGGCTCTTGTCCTCTGTTATGTGACCTCACTTGACCTCACTTCTTTGCTCCCCCCTCACCAACCATGGTGGTCACACGACCCTCCAGCCTGACCATTAACATAACCTATTCCCTTAGCCTCAGTGATTGATTCACAGTTGGGCATGGAACCCGCGCTAGTCCAATGGGAGTCTAAGTGCTTCTCTGGATTTATTGGAAAACAGCCAATAGAATTTCCCCCATTTTTCATTTTCCCTAAGCTTGTTAAACAGGTAGATTGGAAATTGGGTTTAAACTTTCTCACTTTCAAGGAAGAGTCTGCCTCAGAACAAGACCATTATGGAGAACAGCAGACCTCAGTGACAGACGCCCACAGACCCTACATAAAGATACTAGCATCCTTTGTGTCCCTCAACTAAATCATGCCTGATTTCCCTCAAACTTCCCAGTTACATAAGCCAATAAGTCAACCCCTGTATAATCTAGTCTGAGCTGAGTTTCTGTTTTCTTAATTACTTGCAACCGAATTAATTTTACACAGGTTACCTATTTTCATTTTCATCCTGGATTACAATAGGAAGCAGACAAAAGGACAAAGAAATACGAAAAGGATAAGGAGACATTCTGCATTGGTGTCAAGTAACAGGCATCCTTCAAATAATCTCCTACTTGGGAAACCAAGAGATGTATTTTTTGCAGCAAGCTGTTTTTCTTTCCCATGAAGCTGTTGGAGGAGGATTATTATCTCAAGAGAATTTTCTCCTACACATTTTATTACTCAACCCATCATCTAGTACACTTTCAGTTTGAATGAATTCTGATACCCTCTCCAATTTGTGTTATGACAACCTAATCTTCAAAATACTCTGTAGGTTCTGAATGACACCTGGGATAAGACTGACTCATAGCAATGGAAAAGCTTATAATGAGTAATCATGATCTGTTATAATGCACCTCTAATTCTTATTTTTAAAAGCCTCTCATCTGTAGGTACTCTGTCCAGAAATAACTATTAACAATTTTCTCATAGGTATGAACATAGCAAAGAAGTTCTCCTGTCGTGTGATTTAGAAAATGAAGATTTATACATTGATGCTCTTTTAAGAACTCTAGCTGGCTGTTGTATTTTTGTTGTTTTTCAAAAAGAAGGAGGTGAAAGTGGTTAAACAAGTGACCAGTACTGGATAAAACCACTATCTCCTCGGAACCTTGTTATTTTCCCAGAACAATGAGTCACGAAGCAAATGAGCTTATGAATCACTCTCCCCAACACAGAGCACATTTATAATAAGATTGTCTTCAGGTACATTCATTATTTATA